TTATAATCAAGCAACGTGGCCGTGGAGCTAAAAGTCCCACTTTGAGAATGCGAAATACAAATGTAGATTTTACAAATGCACAAAATTACGTAGACCTTTCCTATCTCTCATATCCGATCTGAGCGACAATGATGGGGGGATATGCTCACATGGCTGTGTGTTGTCAGGAAAAATCCCAACGCTACGGCACTAATGACAAGCAACGGAAAGAGGCCCCTGTCTTGGAGACTAAGTGGGTCTCTCTAGCTTCATAGGGACCCCAATAATGAGGAAAAATATTTACTCTCAAGGACAAGAAAAATAACCATAAAAAATTAGGAGACAATTATTCCAAGGCTTGGACGTTGCTTTGACTAATTTAATTTAAGAATATCACTAAAATCTCCCCCCAAAAAAACTACAAATGGCCAAATTATGGACTTCAAGTCAATAAGGTTAATTTCGTAATGTTCAGCCAAACATTCCTCGCTGTTTCAGTTCAAACACCCAAAAGCGGATTCATAACTGAAGAGTTCACCATTGACTAAATATCAAAATTAAGGTAAAGACCTCGAAGTTAATTCAGGCTATTAGGAGGCCTTATTACCTTACTAACAACCACATTGAAGCCAGCAACAAGGACAATGTGGTTTTGTTAAAACAGAAGAACTAACATACCCTTACTGAAAGAGAAGAGGAGAGACGGGTGACTGGGATGAAACTTCAACTCATTTACCGCTTGTCCATGACCAATCAAACTGTCCAAACATTTAGATAGTGAAGGACAAAGAATGCGGATAACGCCACGCTTGCCGGCCACAGCAAGGATCTGCTGACGGCTGGATGCCTTAGCCACACCGCGACGCGCATCGAGGTTGCAAGACCAGGCACAGCAGTAGAACTCCTCGTCATTGGCAGCGTCTGAGAATGACTGAAGCAGGTGTATAGGTGGGTCACTCGTGGCATCTTCCTCCTCTGAGGGCGGAGGTAGTTCTCTGCATTGGTAGATGGTCACCTAAATTAATTGGGAATGAATTCTTCAAACTCCAACATCAAGCGATATCGACCGACACGTCCAACAAAATCAGCCTTAAAACACACCGATAGTGTAAAAGTGAAAAGGAAGAGGGCTTACATGGTTAGCACCAACAGTGGCGAAAAGAAGGGGATCACTGGAAGAGCTGCGATTGTCACAATTGAAGGCAACACCAAAGATGGGCTGGCCATGACTTTCCCGAATAAATGCGGTTTGTGTAAAGTTGAAGTGGTTAGGGGGTTTGCCAACTTCTTCAACGAGGAGACAGTCGTAATCCTCCTCCACAATCTTGACGGAGTCACTGGTGTCCGAGGAGATCCTGGAAAGAAGAGATAAAATACGGATCGTGATGGACAAGGAGTAGAGGTATATGAGAAACAAAATAAGACGAACACTTCAGCCGGGATGTCGGAGTCATTTGAAGGTTTACGAATAGGAGTAGGCATCTACAAAGAGAGGATAGCGTTACTTGAAAGAGTTAAAGGACCACATGGGTTGAAAACCTCGGAGGAAACCAAAATAGCACAGACGCAAGATAACAGGATCAGCCCCACACACCTTAGAAAGAGTACTACACGAAATGTTCGCGCTCATTTGGAGTTCCTACAGTAGACGACTACAAATGCGTTGCAATACATGCATGATGACAATATTCAAGTTAAACGATCCATTTTGCACCAGACACCTCAGTTACCAATGGGAGTTTCAGGAGCTAGAACCCTTATGGGAACAGATTGGCGTCGATAAATAGTAAAGTAAAAAGTTAGGAGGCACAAAGCTACAATTAGCGAGTGCTAACTCAATACCTTTAATGGCAGTCATGTGAAGACATAAATTCGAAGGAGCG